ATAAATTTACATTCGGGACCGTGTAATACGTTTCAAAGTCTGTCAGACCGAGTTCGTAATCACCATCGTTCAAATCAACAGCTGGAAAGTAGCTTACCGAGAGGATGCTACTCTTGCCGGTGAGTGTAAACGTTAGCGACATGTTTGAGACTGAGTTTAAATGTGCAACGCTAGCATTTAAATTGATCATCGACTTTTTGTAGAAACTGCAGACAAAGTTGTCCACAATTGCTCTGATCGTAACGCTGGTAAGGCGTGCGATTGTACTCGATTCGTGTTACATCGTTTATTAGATATCGCACCAATTCTCTCGGCGGTCGAAGATTACCAAAACTGTCGAAATATATAACGCGATCTCCTCTCTTCGCATACGCCACCCAGTGAGTACCCGGTCCCTCGACATCGTCCAAATTTACGATTCCACTCTCGTTTCGATGCACTCCTCCCGTTGGTAGGCTAGTACGCATAAAAATACCTCTAAAATATGGAATGTGCATAAGTTTTGCGAGTTGTTGTAATTGTACGTTGGTAGTTGCACCTTTTGGGATTTTTAACGTCTTTTTGACGTTTTTTTTCTCTTCGAAACTCCTCGACCACGTTTGTACGGAGCGAGATAAATTCCATGACCTGCCATGGCATGATTATGACGCTGCAGTTCTTCCAGCTGACGCTGCGCAGCCTTGTTATCATTCACAGCCTTTGCGACTCCCGCCGCTCCACCGACCAATGAACCGATAACTCCTAGTAACGGCAGGATCGGTAGGATACCGCCACGTTTCGCAACCGGAAGTATTCGTTTCTTCGCGGTTTTCTGTTTCTTCGTTGAATTCTTTTTCTTCGTTTTTAGACCCATACCGAGTTTTGTTTCGGCCTTCATAGCCGCCCAAACGGCTGTAGCAGCAGCTCTTTCCCCGAGAGCCGAATCCCTCGCAGTAATACGTTTTCGCGGCGAGTATATTGTCGGCAGCGTGTCGTTCTGCGATATCGTTGCTATGCGAATAGGCTATATCGTGTTCGCGACACGCTGCATCCAGCGAGTTAATACCTCGATCACCTCTTGCCAAAGGTTTTTCCAAATGAGTTCCTGGACCGCAAAACTGATAACCAGGGATATGTAATTCGATCGGAAGTGCGTTTATCACACGATTTAACAAGCCTCTTCCAATCTTCGCCGGCATTCGCTGCAATTTTTTATCAACGGCGGTGGGCCGTCGATGTGCGTCTGCTGAGACGATAGATTGTAATGCTCCAGGCAACGACGATACTGCACAACTTCCGAATCTGTCTTGATATGGTCGGGAAGTCTATCCCACACATAATCTATGCAATTATAAAATTTTTGCAATAGAATGATCTTTGGTACATACTTCAACTGTTCTGCTGTTAAATCGTATATGTCACTGTTATCCGACAAAAGCAGAAACATATCTGAGCGTCTCGGTGCAATGTCCAGCTATAAATAGGCTGGCTCTCTCGAAATCGTATTCATTTTTTTCGGAGATAACATGCGGTTCGTGCGACAATCGCCGCCAATCACGGTGACTAATTTCGACGAAAGGTTAATATCTGAAAAAGAGGTACGGCGACATGGAAACATGTTACCGGTTTCTAAACGCGGTATTATTTGTGGTCCGTCAAATTGCGGCAAGACAAACGTGTTGATTAGCCTGCTGGAAAGTCCGCACGGTGTACGCTTCGAGAACGTGTACGTGTACTCGAAATCGTTGCAACAACCGAAATATCGATACCTGGAGAATGTATTTACATCGATAGAAGAAATTGGTTATTTTACATTTTCGAATAACAGCAACGTCCTTTCGCCGAGCGAAGCGCTTCCAAATTCCATTTTTATCTTTGATGACGTGGCGTGTGACAAGCAGGATACGATAAGAGAATACTTTGCGATGGGTAGACACGCAGGTGTCGATTGCTTCTATCTTTGTCAGACGTATGCAAAGAAGCATCTTATACGCGACAACGCGAATCTACTCATCCTGTTCAAACAGGATGGTACCAATCTAAAACACATATAAACCCATCATGTAAACAGCGTGTCTTACGAAGATTTTTGTAAAGTGTGTCATATCTGTTGGCAGCAAAAATATGGATTTGTAGTGATAGATAAGGATAGCGCGATTTCAAATGGTCGTTATAGAAAAGGATTTAACGACTTTGCGACATCATAACGCGATTAGTTGTTGTCGATACGTTAAGCAGACAATATTGATAGCAGCATGGAGATTAGAGATCGTGAGAAATTAGTAAAACAGATTGAGAAAACGTGTGATTCGATTCGCAAAAAGTATCGAGCTTTGAAAACTGGTAAGATGGAGGAAGATATGGCGTTGGAGAGGCATTTTAAGCCCATTGTCGAACCTCTAAAGAAAATTGTTGAAAACACCGTTGGCGAAGAATCTAATTTCATCAAGACTGAAACAGCAGAGAAGGAGTATGCAAAACCTAAACGAAAACAATCTGTTCGAGTGCGTGAGAGCTGGTTCAGTGGTGAGGATAGGAAGAGTATTCGTGTCGGAAGAGAAATAATAGAGGTGTTATGAAGAATGCAGCAACCGGTTTAATTTCACCTGAGATTGTACAAGACAGCGGATCGTGCGGGTGAGCGATTGTCGCGAGAGTCTCGGAGCAACGAGTGCGCGGTATTACTCTCGAGAGCGTTCTCACAAGGACTGGAGTCGAGCTCGGGCGCGCTCCTTTTGTTGGCCCGTCCTTTCGCGAATGTTCCAGCCGATGACCCGTTGAATTTGACTTTGAGACGAAAGATAAAAATAAACAGTCTTCAATTTCAACGGACATCGCCGGGTTGGCCGCGAAGGACGGGACCACCGCGATTCGCGCAGCGAGCGCCGTTGGTTGGCGCACGCGCGGTTCGGCGCGAGCCCTCGGGGTGACGCGCCAACTCTCGAAACGAGGCGAGAGGAACTTCGGCGCTTTGGGGCCGCATGCCCACGCTAGCGCTGTCGCATCCTCTGTTTTCAAACACAATCAAACGTTTCGTTTGAACATTATCCTCGGGAGAGGAAGAGTACGTGGAACCAAATGTTAAACGAAAACGATCAAACGCTTCGTTTGACAATTCCCCCATCTTGGTTTCAACACCGATTAAATCAACTTTGAGACGATCGATCACCGTTCCAGCTACTTTGAATGAAACAGCCAAAAATTTACAACCGCGCGAATTATCGTACGAACATCCGCACACACTCTCCGTCGAAGAAATTTTCGAAAACCCTAACGAACCTCTTGTAACGTCCGTTCGACACAAGTTACAAACGGTCGAGGGGCAAAAAATTTTAAAAACGCACTACGGTACGTTGGGACAAAAGTATTTAGGAGCTGTCTTAAGCGGTAAAAAATCCGTCAATATAGATAGTGTTTACGGTGTTTATTTCAGCAACAATGGAACGATGATTGGTAACAAACGTATCGATTTGGATAAGAACGATGATATAATCGTAGATGGAAAAAAGTATACTGGGACACAAGGCCTTTACGAACTGATTTTCAAAAAATTTCCTGAAGAAGATAGTTATACAAAATCTGATAAACGCAACTACAAAAGTATACTTTTGGCAACAAATGCACATAGACGTGATCACAACATGCATAATCCTGTAAATAGTAACAAGGGACATAAGTATAGAAATATAATTGCACCCTTGCTAAAAGGTGTTAGAGAAGGTATGCCGTGTACCGTGACGCTAAACAACAACAAGATCGATTATGTTCATTGGGACGATCCCAACGAGCTTGTAGATCGTTTTCGATTGCTTGAGGCCTCTCGCCAAGCGGGTCACAATGATCACGATAACGAAATCATGTCGATCATCGAAGAACTCCGCGAGGCTGGACTTATTATAAATTAAACTGTATGGGAGTGATTCAACCAATTGACAACGAAATGCCGATCAACAAGTTTGGAATATCGCTCGGAAGAAGTGGAACGGATCCGTACTATCAATATAGCGGATTAATTAGAAACTACGTCCGCGATAACGCTCTTTGTGTGGTCGCGACAGATTTTGATGCAAAGTCACGCAAGATTCGACGCGTAGCGCTGCCTGTAGATGATGACGATGCTGTCAACAAACGGTACGTTCAACAGAACATGCAAATTTTGAAAGATCAACAGGATGAAATGGAGAGGAAGATAGTAACGTACCAAAATAGCATGCAGAATATGATAAACGAACTTCACGAAATGATTCAGCGTATGACTCATCGCCAATAAGTTAAATCTCTCTCCGTTACGCGAACGTGTGTTCCCGATCGATCCCCGTTCCGTTCCCGTTCAACGTACGTTACGCGAACGTGTATTCCCGATCGACATACGATCGATCCCCGTTCTGTTCCCGTTCAACGTGTGTTACGCGAACGTGCGTTCCCGATCGACATACGATCGATCCCCGTTCCGTTCCCGTTCAACGTACGTTACGCGAACGTATGTTCCCGATCGACGTACGGTCGATCCTCGTTCCATTCGATATACGTTCGGTCCCTGTTCCGTTTGATATACGATCGGTCCCTGTTCCGTTCCCCGTTTAAAATCATTTGCTCATGGCTGAAAGGACAACATCTGAGAAGCGGCAATTAGTGAAGGAACTGCACGCTCCAGCGAGAAAAAATTTTCCGCGAAGACGTGTCATAGTGCGCGGGTACGACGATCTGTGGCAAGCTGATGTAGTTGAGATGCGTCCTTACACGCGATTCAACAGACGCTACCACTACATACTTACTGTTATCGATGTGCTGAGCAAGCATGCATGGGCCGTACCGCTCAAGGTCAAGAGCGGATGCGAAGTTACTGTGGCAATCGCAAAGATAATTCGGGTCGATTGAAGATGTCCGAAAAATTTACAAACTGACAATGGAAAGGAATTTTACATGCGAACGTGCAGAAACTCTTGAAGAAACATAACATTAACCATTATTCTACCTATTCCGTGATGAAGGCATCGGTTGTCAAACGATTCAATCGCACGCTAAAGAACGATATGTGGAAGATGTTTACATTAAATGGAAACTATAGATGGATCGACGCGCTGTCACGTCTCGTATCAGATTACAACGCGCGAAAGCATCGGACTATAGAGGTATGCGGCCCATCGACGTCACGCCCACGATCGCCGACAAACTGCTGACGACGGTGTACAGCCGCGTAAAGATTGCTGCACCCTCGCGATTCAGATTGGGTGACCCTGTACGCGTGAGTAAATGTAAGACCGTCTTTGAAAAAGGTTACACACCAAATTGGTCGACGGAGGTGTTTAAAATCGGCAAAGTGCAGAAAACTAATCCCGTGACGTATATACTGGAGGATTCCTGTGGAAAACCCATCACTGTAGGATTCTATGAACACGAGTTGCAGCGTGTAGCTAATCCCGATGTGTACCTCGTTGAGAAAGTGTTACGGAAAAGAGGAAATGAGGTTTACGTGAAATAGTTGGGACTCAATAAATCACATAATTCGTGGATATGCACGGATAATGTTTTGTAAACATACATTTATTGTAATATCTATGCTGATTACAAATTTATTTTAATCTATGTTGATAAAATATATCTATGCTGATTACAAATAAAATGAATTTATAAAAATGAATTTATAAAATATTTACAACGGTATTTTATAATGTCCCCATGACAACGTTTCTGTAGAATCAGGCACAACGTATCGCTTGTCATCGTACGGACTCAGAGCGATTTTCGTTTCGGCTACAGTGTACACCTCATGCAGCTTCGATCTTATACAAGTCTATTGGCGGGTCATTTCTATCTCATCGTTGAGACACCGCGTGTAATCGTCGAACGTTATCGTTCGCGCTACCACGTTACTCTTTACGCCTTTAGCCTTTTTTGTATCTTTCTTACCGTCTACCTTCAACGCGTACATCTTCGCTCTGAGTCCTACGAATTCTGTCATTATCGCACCATTATTCTCATCTTTCATTAAACCTGGCACTTTTTTATTAACAAGTGGAATATCGTACGCGTTATCTGCCGGATAATCGCTCGTGTCAAATCTATGAATATCACGTTTCATCGTCTCGTACACGTCCTCGCACTGGATGTGGTATATAAGGCTATCCGTGTCGGTGTACATAATTTTACATCTGTTGCTATATAAAGGTAACATGTACTCGTGATGAAATTCATACAAACAGATTTTAGATATGTCGAGAATGCACATACCTACGTAGATCGGCTTGTTGAATTTCACCTCGAGTTTGCGCAATTCAACGGCTATCAGATTTTCCGAAAAGATGCTTCGGCTATGGAAATTTGGTTTTGCGATCATTGCCTCCGCGCCGCGTCGTCCTTCCCATTTAGTTATTAATTTTACATCGACGCGATTTCGTACATTTTCCATAGTATTTGGGAAATTTCCTCCCTTTCGAATCTCGTCATGAGATCGAAAGATCGCGAAATCTCCGTGAGCGCTGCGAGTGGATCGGGGGGTGAGAAAGGACGTGCAACGTGGCGAGAATGACTACGATTCGGTTGTTAAAATGAGTCGAACGTTTAATCGTATTTACACTATGTACAATTGAGAGTTACTGAGGCGTATAATTGAGGTGAGCGAGTCCGTCAAGCTCTTTTGTTCGCACAAGACCGTTGGGGATGTGCCGCCCGTTGAGCCGGTGGCCGGCTACAAGCGAGCGTGCACGTACAAAATGAGAGGCCTTTGCGCAGAACACCGATGCACTCGACTTGAGCACTTTACTAATGAGTCTGTCCAGGGGTGAGCACTAATTGTCAATGTGAGCGAACAAGCACTGAAGTCGTACTTATTCCCGTGAGCGCGAGCGCGATACTTTTCGTATATCGATGCGAACTTTTACCACAGCTTACAACGGCTGCTTTCACACGACTCCTGAGCTCTGTGAGCTCGCGCGCAAGCCCTCGAGCCATGTTCACGGGCCCGACACGTGCTCGTTACCCGGTCGCGCGGTCGCGCGCGCGGTACCACTGGGCCTCGTGAATAACCGTGAGATGGCGAGGGCAGTACAATTGAGATAACTGGAGGAATCTCAAACACATAGTTTTACCGAATACTGCGTTGTTCATCAATTTATACAAATTTTTCTCAAAATCGTTCTTGGCGAGTGTTCTAAATTGCGTATTTAGTTCAATATAATCGCGGAGCCACGCGGATTGTGCGAATTGTAGTACGCGATGTATATTTGTGACGCGAAGACCCTGACGCGTGCATTGCTGTAGGTTTCGATAGTGAATGACGTAACGCTTCTTGCAATATAGAGTCGCCAGAAGTTTTGCCTGCCACATGCCGGGCGGCTTATCACGCGTCGGACAGAACGGTAGGTCAGTGTGCTCGTCGTGTATACTTTGCGGGTACTCGAGATCGACCTCGAGAATGTAACCCGTGGGCGAGTCCGAGGCGATCGCGCTAAAGTCAAAATCTGCAACATCGTCAACCCAGCGAAATTCAGCGTATGGCAGTAGTTGACACATTGCCCATCCGTATAGATTATTTACATCGAAGTACATCAAGTATGAGGAAGCTTTCGACGGATCATGCGAGTGCATATACTTGTTGTTAGCCTGTGCATATTTACCGGAGCATTGGCTCAGGCCGCCGCGTATACTACGCTCGATAAACATGACTATCGATGTCCGTGAGGAAATTTATACGCGTATGTTTAAGCATGGCGTCCCACGTGAATCCTGGTAATGTGTAATAATGCGCGGGATCGAGACCATAACTCTCGATACATTTGTCTCGGAAATTTTCAAAAATGTCCGCCAACAACATGACATCCGTTTTCAAATACAGGTCGCTGTACTTGCCCAAGGATTGAATGGCAAACCGCCGCCAGACGTTCGCAGCGTGCGCGTAATCGTTCTCGGATACTGTGTCACCGGTCAAGGAACTGTAAAATGATTCGCGCGGTGGTAAACACGCGTCCTCCAACTTTTCGACGAAATCAACGTACTCATACGGAAAGACACCCTTTCGCGTCAATAGATTGAAATCTTCCATCGATAACTTTGAAAAATTTGAACGTGTAATTTTCAAATTATCCATGCTGAGAAGAGACGCTAGTTTGTCGAGACTGGCAGTTAAAAATTTGTATGAATCGATGAATCGCAATTTCATACGATTTCGCCAATCTGATTTTTCAGCGATGCCTGTGACATGTTTGGTGAAGGAAATGTATTTTTCCTTCGTAATTGGAAGCAATTCTACATGTCCTTCGTACGCCGTAGCTATTTCTTTGATAATGAAATGCGAATCGTAACCGGATTAATTGTGGAAGACCACAGGAATACAATATAAATTTTTATAATTTAAATTACAGTTCGAATGCGCGGGACCTCTATATCTTCCGGTCAAATGGCAGTGATCGCGTACTCTATCGTCACCCAGTGCGAACGGTTTTTGACATATGTGGCAATGCGTCGCGCTACGGTATGCCCTCCACTGTTCCTTCGACAAATTTTCCATTGGGACATTATTGGACAACTTTTCTTTTACATGTTGTGATAACACTTTGAGTTGCTCGACGAACCACGTGATGCAATCTTTATCGCGACGAGATTGGTATGTGGACAATGAATCGTCGTACGAGCAACGCACGTAATATCCAACGCTAAATACTTCATGATGTTGATACGCATATCTAGACGTTATCGAATCCTTGTCCATCTTCTCCAGAGTGCACTCCAAGTCGGCGTATACGACAAACGGTACACGTTCCTTACAGTTGTAATTGTTGAAGGTCAGCCACTTGTCGTCCTCACTCGGTAATCTGATCGCGCAGTCGTTCATCTCTCCACAGTCCACAATGTGAGCTTCCAACCTTTGACTCGAACTGAAGTAATGCAAGCATCCGGAAAAATATTTTTTATAGTATTCATAACTTATTATGTATTTTAAAAATTATTATGTAAAAATTATACATACCGATCACAGAAATATTTTTTTCCATTGTGCTTAGTCAACTGCGTACTTATGAGGCGGGACATATTTTTTATCCACGCAAAATGGCCCACGTCGTCGTCTCCCTGAACGTATAGCAAGTTGACGTGCTTTTCCTTGTGTTGTGAGTACTGAAAAAAACCCGGACATTTTCGGAAAAAAACCGGGTTTTTTACCGTTTTTTTCCCAAGGCTGGGAAAAATAGGAAAAATATGGAAATTTTGAATTTTTACACTAATAATCTTGACAGGTTGGCCAACGCTTGTATGTAATCCGTTGACAAGAATTAGGGTCGTCACATTCACTCACGACACGGCGGGTGTGTTCCGAAAACTGCCACTGTTGAAAACCTATAATATACGTCACGTAAACTATAGATTTCCAGTACTGGCAGTAAATTTCGGAACGCAGCAATAGCTACCGGCATAGTACAAGACCGTCTCGACCAATGATCATCAACCATAAAAAACTTTACATAAAGA